AGACACATCTCTAATTGTTATGATATTATCCACTTTGGGCAAAAGCCCTCATGGTTTGACTTAAGGTACCACCCAAAATGTGTCAAAAATTAATAGAGATGTTGTCCCTCAATTGTATACCCATATCCTTCCCCTTATCTAGCTAGTGTGACACACATCCCTAGTTGGAATGATATTTCCACTTTGGGCATAAGCCCTCATGGTTTGATGTTTGGTATTATCCAAAATGCCTAAAAACTTAATAGAGTTGTTGTCCCTCACTTGTATACCCATAACCTTCCCCTCATCTAGCTAACGTGAGACACATCTCTAATTTGTATGATATTGTCCACTCTGAGCATGTCGTCATGGTTTGACTTTCGATATCACCCAAAAAGCCTCAAATCAATTGAGATGATGTCCCTCACTTGTATATCAATAACCTTCCCTATAGGCTCGCTACTTTGTTCGACACCTGAGGATTCTACTCACATAGCTAAGTTAGGAACAAAGCTCTGGTACCCACTTGTTAGGGACAAGGAACCACCCTCCACATCTCTAATTTGTATGATATGCCCACTTTGGGCATACGCCCTCATGGTCTGACTTTTGGTATCACCTAGAAAGCCTTAAATCAATTGAGATGTTGTCCCTCACTAGTATACCCATAAGCTTCCTCTTATCTAGCTAATGTGAGACACATCTCTAATTGGAATGATACTGCCCACTTTGGGCATAAGCCCTAATGGTCTCACTTTTTGTATCACCCAAAATGCCTCAACAATCAATAGAGATGTTGTCCCTCACCTATATACCCATAACCTACCCCTTATCTATCTAATGTGAGACACATCTCTAATTGTTATGATATTATCCACTTTGGGTAAGCCCTCATGGTTTGACTTTTGGTATCACCCAAAAATCCTCAAATCATTAGAGATGATGTCCCTCACTTGTGTATCTAAATTAGGAACCAACCTCTTATACCACTCGTTATTGACATGGAACCACTCTCCACATCTCTAATTGGTATGATATTGTCCACTTTAGGCATAATCCCTGATGGTTTGACTTTTGGTATCACCCAAAATTACTCAAATCAATAGAGATGTTGTCCCCTACTTGTATACCAATAACCTTCCCCTGAGGCTCCCCACTTTGTTCGACATCTGAGGATTCTACTCACATAGCTAAGTTAGGAACAAAGTTATGATACCACTTGTTTGGGACAAGGAACCACCCTCACATCTCTAATTGGTTATGATATGTCCACTTATGGCATAAGCCCTCATGGTTTGACTTTTGGTATCACCCAAAAGGCGTCAAATCAATAGAGATATTGTCCCTCACTGGTATACTCATAACCTTCCTCTTATCTAGCTTATGTGAGACACGTCTCTAATTGGAATGATATTGTCCACTTCGAACATAAGCCCTCATGGTCTCACTTTTGGAATCACCCAAAAGGCCTCAAACCAAGTCCCTCACTTGTATACACATGACCTTCCCCTTATCTAGGCAATGTGGAATTTTGGTCTCATTCCCAACAATCTTCTCTCAAACAAAGTACCGTCAAGCCTCCCATAAATTAATCATCCACATGATCCGGCCCGACCTGTTCTATAGGTCAACCCTAGATACCTAAGGCTCG